CGGTGGGGGCAGAGCTTCCCAAAGCCCAGGGGGGGCTGGATCCGGCGCAGCAGCGTCACCACATCCAGGTGCTTGATGCGGCCCCTGCGAGACGGGGGGGTCACGGGGAGCCCCGGATGGCTCGGGGGGACACGATGGTGACGTTGTGACGGTGACAGACCTGGCAGCGGGGTCGTACTCGGACCAGACCCGCTTGAACTCGTCCAGGTGGTGGGGGCCCAGGATGGACCAGTCGCGCGTCAGGTAGTCGAAGTTGTCCATGATCACAGCCACGAAGAGGTTGATGATCTGGGGGGGGGAGGCGGTCAGGAGCCCCCCCAGGGACTCTTGTTGCTGTCGTCGTTGCGAGGGGCCGAGCGGCGTTGCGTGGCGGCCCACCGGGGAGCCGTGGGGCTCACCAGGAAGGCGCAGAGCATGAAGAAGCTGATGAAGTAGGCGATGGCGAAGTTGCTGCCGCAGGTGAACTCCTCGCCCGGTCCCGCGTCCGACTCGGGGTCGCAGCGCTTGCCCGGCAGGCTGGCCAGCATGATCTCCTGCCAGGCCTCCCCTGTGGCGCACCTGCGCCCCACACGCCCGGCGTGACCCTATAGGGCCCCTCCGGACCCTATAGGGCCCCTGCAGGACCCCCCCCCCGCCCCCCCCACGCCTGGTTTGCCCTCCCACCAGGCCTCCCCTATAGATGGGGTAGAGGTGCCCTATAGAGCAACCCTGCAGGGACGCGCAGGCCCCAGGAGCGCCTACAGGAACCCCACGGGGAGCCGTGGGCCCTATAGGGTCTCGGGGGGGGGGGGGCACAGAGCCCACAGGGACCCCGTGGGCACCCCAGGAGGACCCTATAGGGGTCCTATAGGAACCGCGTTGTGACCCACAGACCCCAAGGAGGAACTCCACAGGGACCCAATAAAGAGCCTGACAGGACACCCCAGGTCCCATAGGGAGCCAGCTGGGACCTTAGAGGCCCCCCCCCAGATACCATAGGAAACCCAGAGCCCCCCCCGGATCCCATAGGGTCCCCATAGGGCGCAACCCCACCTGAAGAGCAGCAGCACGGCCTGGGGGAAGGTCTGGAAGTTGTTGTTGCGGTTGATCTGGGTCCCGTCCTGCAGCGCCACCTTCCCGAAGGTCTGGGGGGGGGGGAAGGACATGGTGGGGGGGG